GTCGCCGAAAAAAAAAAATATATGTATTTTCTACATATTAGTAGAACCCTAAAATCGATTAAATAAGCCTTTGAAACCCCAAAATTGTCAAAATGTTCGGGGGCTTTGCATCCTGAACCATTTTCAAAACCTTTTAATTGAAGCTTGACCACGTCCACTTTGCTTTCGTCGGGGAAATCTGACCCCTCGCCAGGGGTATCGTGTATAGACCTGGTTGTCAAAAATCAAAATAAGTTTTCCGCAAGTACACAGTGCGCATGTAGGATTAGCAAAATGTATTTTTATGGCCACTGTTTGTTGACACACCAACTCTGTATTCTCTGTAAAATATGCTATTAACGAATCACAGTGAACAGAACATTGTACAGGCGGCACTAAAGTCGGTGTGATGCAAATACAATAACTTCAAAAGAAGGCTATTGACGAAACACAATGATTAGAACAAACACAGAGGCAGTACTAAGGTGCGTAATCAGCAAAGCGAGCCCCGAATTATACTTAAATCATCCCCTTCTTTTTTTATTTAACTCTATTACCTACCTTGGTCACGTTATAAAGAATTTTAGAAATTCTACATAGTTTCAAAAACCTTATACAAATTAGCTCTTATTCAATAATTTTAGCCATTAAGCATTATTCTCTTTCTAATTATAAAATGTATCATCAGTGGAACATTGTCGTACATTAAGATGATTTCCTGATCTTGACGGTTTTTTTTTTAATCAGTCTGTTTTTCACTATTGTCACGTGTGGCAAGTCGGATACCCTACTTTTCGATAATTTCAAATTTATATTTTTTTGTATTGTGTCTGTATTGGTTTAACTGTAATTATTTTGTATAGACATGAAATTCCGAAATAAAAGTTTATTATTATTATTATTATTATTATTATTATTATTATTATTATTATTATTATTATTATTATTATTATTATTATTATTATTATTAGGCCCAATAACAATATTATTAGTTTATTACCTTATCAAAGAATAACAACCGATGAGAGAGGGAGGTTTTTTTTGTTTTTTTTTTTTTGTTTTTTTTTTATAATTTTTGCTAACCCCGCCCCCAATTTTACCCATATTTACAAGTAAATCAATGGTTAGGGACACATATATAGGAAGTCATAAAAATGGAATCAACTTTATATATATAAAAAATATGTTTTTGTTGCACCAGTAAACATATTTGCAAGAAATCCTGAGCTTTTCAATGCTTTTCAATGTTTTTCTGTTTTGTGAAAACAGATGGAAAAACAAAACGAACGTTTTGAAAAAAAAAATATGTTGATTAAAAAGCAAAAAATATCAGAATTTCCCCAAAATTGATTAGGGAGGTGGTAATAAACTAATTTATTTTTTATTTTTTATGGAGCCTTATCTTATATATTATTTATAAACCATAGCATAATATTGCCAACAAGAATTGTGTGGACAAAATTAATTATCATAGAACATTAAGCTCATATAAATTTATAAGATTATTATTTAAAACAATGAAATAGATAAAATTATTATTTAAAGAACAGTTTGCAGACGTAAGTTGATTTAACATGCTAATTTATTATTATCTCATTAATCAAACTATCGTAAATAGGCCAATAAAAGTATTACTAATTCATTATTAAAGTATTTTGAGCATTGTTTTTATTGCTGGTATTATTATTAAGACCTACTTAATTATTAATACAATAATGTTATCTATAAATCAAAACATCCATTTTTATTAATTAAAACAACAGACTTTCTACTGTGGCAGTACCGATATAAACTGCAGTTTTTTGGCACTGCGGCAGTGCCGATTGAAAATAGCAACTTTTTTCGCACTGCGGTGGTAATGCCGATAGAAAATAACAGCTTTTTTTCGCAATGACAGTGCCGATAAAAAACAGAAAAGGGGCGGATCCAGGATTGAAAAATGGGGGTTCATTTTCCCATAAACCCAAAAATGAAAGGGGAGTCCGGTGGTACTCCCCCAGGAAAATTTGGATTCCTAGGTGGCCGGAAAAGAGCTTTCCCGACTTCTGAGGTGTCTTTTAATGACTTTTATTTCTTCAAAATTCTAAGTTTTACCCCCCTTAAAAAAATTCAGGTGATTTTATCTCATTCAGGCAGGGAACAGCGAATGTTCTTAGGCCTATACCATAGAAAATAAATCAAAAATATAGTGAATATATGCCTATTATTAGGCATATATCATACCAAGTCTCACGCATCCGGCGTGCTCAGTTGTGCTCAGGGTCCAAAAGTTTTGAGTACCTGTAATTAAGCAAGTTGTTATAATGTTTTTGGTAATTTCATATTCTACTTTTTGTTACAATATGGTAACAAATTCTGTAACTTTAAGCAAAGAATACGTATATAATTATCAATATTCTGTTCACATCCTAGTTGGTTAAAACAATAAGAATTTGCATTCGGTGTATAATAAATGTTAGTAACCATACACATTAAATA